GCCACGCTGATCTCTCACGTCGCTTGCAATTTGCATCGTGAGTGGAGCGAGATAGGCGACCTGTAAGGGGGAGCGGGCTTCGAAATCGTGGAGCTCACCTTCTTGCAGTTCTTAGTCCTTAGATGTTCTTAGTGGTTCAGGGTCTGGCTGCGCCTCCTGTTGTGAAGCTATATGACAAGACGGTCGCGGATACCAGTCAAAACCACAAACCGCGGCAACTGGGCCCCCCTGCGCCAGGGCGACGCAGCACTGCATAGGGAACTACAGTACTTCGGCACTCCAGGGCGCGCCATACCTTGGCTTTCAGCCACCGCCTTTCAAAAAGCACCCAGAAAGGGAGCCTCGGCTTCGGACCACCAAAGCTCAAAGCTCAAGGCCAAAGCCCTGGCAGTGAGTTTAGGACGTAGGGTTTCGGGGTGTTGGGGTTTGGGGGTTTGGGATCTGAGGGTCTTGGGCTGTGCCCTTTTTTCTGACCCCCCGCCTCGGGTACAGTCGACAAACGCTGAGCCCGCAAATAGCAGCGCTATGGAGGTTCAAACCTGCGCAGCCCAGATATCGGAGACGAAAACATCCAAACGGTAAACATCTTCAGGCTGGGCTGCCGGCGTTTAGATTTAGATCTGTTCAAGCTTTTTGCTATTCTTTCTCAAAATTCCCATGGTCGGTGGAGCGGCTTCTCACTCTCACACGTTCTCGCCGTTTGGTTTGCTGTTCTTTATCTATGACTGCCTTCTTGTCCGCTGTCCAGCTGTTTGTGCATGGTTCTCAAATTTACTCAGCGGTTTTGCTTCTCTTTCTCAAGTTCTCCTCCTCGCCACTTCCTCCAGCTTCTCTCGAGTGATTTTCTGTTCTTTATCAAACGTGTTTTCTCCAATTTCCTCTTTGTCGAATTCACGAGTCCCCTTCGAGCGCTGTGCAGCTTTTCTCCAAGTATCTCATCTCCTAAGTCCTAAGTGCGGGTGTCTTTCTTCGATTCTCGGATCTGTTACGAAATTTTTGCTCCTGGTCTCCGAACGTTTTCCTGTCTCCTTGGATTGGTTTGCTCCTCTTCGTCAAACTCTCAAGTCACTTTCGACTGGCCTGCTCCTCTTTCTCAAATACTTTCCGGCGCTGGTCGATGGGAGACCAGGGCCTGTGACAAGGGGACACCGCCGTCGAAAACCCTACGTTGGCCACCCCACAGCGCGAAACGACGGCACTCTTTCACGGTGACAAGAACTGCTACGAATGACAAGGGCCGACAACACCGGCATTGGCCACCCCCACCTGTCCCACATGTGAGACAAGGCACGACAAGAGGCCACATGGAAATCCCCGAGATGGGCCACCG